ACTCGTCAGAAGGCACTGCTCGTCACATGCTTAGTGGTTCGGAAGTTCAAAGCTGTCTTTTCGACCTAAACACCTGTGCCGATAGTAACAAAAAAAAAAAAAAAATGCGAAAATAAAAAGCAGGAGAAAAAAAAAAAACTATCAAGAATTCGTCGGAAGTGTTCTATTCTTGCATATTCAGAGGTTCAGAACTTCGAAACAAGTTTCCTTTACCAAAATGTGTACAGGCTAAAAGAAACACGTCCCAGGAACGTGAAGCGAAAAAAAAAAAAAAACGTTTTCTTTTAATGACGTGCTGAACTTGAACACTATTAGAAATCTTCTCCCATGAGTTAATTTATTCCTTAACGTGAAAAAAACAATAAATATATTATTTCGTATTCTGCAGATGGCAATGATATATACTGTCTGTGGTGTTAATTTAAATGCGATACCTCAAACAACTTAGACGAAAATAAATATCAAGTTTAGGTTATAATTGCATGCAGATACATGCTTGGACATTTCTTCGAAACTCACGTTGAATAACAATAATCACATCTTAAGACGGCACTTACCTAGGCTATACATAGATCATTCTTAAAAAAAGTATAACATATCTACCATAAATAGCTTCGGCTGCAGCGTGCTTCAAATCTGGCACAAACGATAATCGTCAAAAACCCGTCGTCCTTCCTCGCCCCTTCGGGGATTTATTTCTTTAAACCTAAGCATGCCAGAACATTGAAATAAACGACATTGTCTTTTGTAAGGAACGCAGCACCGCGTGTAAAAGTTCGAGAAAGAAAAATTACGAATGTACCCCATTACTTGAAATCAAATGAAACCGTCCGCCGGTCTTTCGAAGTTCGACGAACGTCGAACTTTTACCCTAAAAGTTCGAAGTTCGTCGAACTTCTGACTTTTCAGAATCCGAAAGTTCGAAACTTTTCGAATTCTCTTGATAAATAAATTTGAAAGTTCGAAATTCATCGAATTTTTTGGTCAGTCAAGTTCGAAAGTTCGACAAGCATCGAACCTTGCAGCGCAATAAGTTCGAAAGTTCGAAAAAGATCGAATTTTTTAGCGTAATAAGTTCGACGGTTCGAAAAGCGTCGAACTTCTTAGCTTAACAAGTTCGAAAATTTGACCTCCGTCGAATTTTACGATATAGACAATTCGAAAAATCGAAATCTTTCGAACCTTTCGAACCGCTTGATTCGATCATCGAAACTTCGATTCGAAAAAAGTTCGCGGCATCCCTAATATAGAACAACAATAATTATTTTTGATTGGGCAGTGAGATGCACCATCTATCGGTGAAACAAGCCAGTCATTTTGTTTATCCTCTTTTTCTGCTGGTTTTTATCGATCTAGTATGGTATTTTAAGTCAAAATATAGTAATGTTGTACTTGAAGACCAATTTATTTGCTTCGGATGGTACAAAGAAATTTCAGCTGCTATGCTAGAGTTTGTCGACGAATATTCGAAAATGTAAGAAACATTTCCTTCAATATGTTTCGCCATAAACAACGCATAACTTTCCTGTGTGTCTTCCATTCTGGCAACGCCGGTGCTGTAGTCTCGTTTTTGTTCCTTGCGACGCACGTTTCTGCGATTCCTTCTGATCTCAACTGTTTGCCTTCTCTTCCGTTTGCCCAACCGATCCACCGGTGACGAGAAGCTAAGCTTCTCGTCACCGTTGAATTGCTGGCCACCGGGGATATGTAGAAACCTCGATGCTGTCGGCATACTGTCGGCGCACTGCGAACAAAAAAACAGTACAATGCCCCAGCTGTTCACCCGGAACGAAGACTTTATCGAGGATAACCCCCCCTTCTCCGCAAAGTAATCGCTGCTCACGAGTTGGCGTGCATAATGTAACAAATCAGACGTGTTTGTATAAATATATACCAACACTCGTTCGCAAAATATTTTTTTACTCACCATAAAAACACTTGCAAGGCTTATGTACCGTCATATGTCTTGGATCTCGAACTGCTGAAGAGTGATCAGGGGTGGAACGGCTGCGCCATTTGCGCCATTTTGCGCCAGACGCATGTGCTTGCGCCATCTTGCGTCATGTTGCAGAAACTGCGCCACAGCCAATACCTCGTGCCATTATGCGCCAAATCGCAAAACGTGCGCCAAAAAACTTTTTATTTTGTCTTGGTTTCGGTTTTGTTGACTCGATTGGCAACAATGAGCGCGTTTAGCCTGGTCGGCCTTGCAATCCTTTGTTTCTGTTTATTCTCCCTGTGTATCCCGAGTTGAAAGCGCGCGATAAAAACTCTCATTCCAAGCGCTACACCACCTGGGACTGGATTGTTATTCTTCAACCATAAGCGGTTAAGCAAGTCGGCTGAGGTGAGGTTGAGTCGTTAAGCGTGAGATTGCCTGAGGCTCTGCGGCCCGGGATCCGGACGTCAGCCAGTTGAAAACAAATGAGCAAAAGATTCCTTTTAGTACTTCATCGTTAGAAGTTGGAACCTTATTCTCGCAAGATAAATCGTGATTTGATAGAACTAAAACGCAATCCGATCCGAAACCTTACCGGCCAGCAGCTCTTACGCGAGCGGTAGATCTACTCGGCGTGCTTTAACCTTGCTCCTGCTTATCGCTTCAAATACGATAGCTTCGTTAATCGTAGTCTGCTGCTTTGATATCGAGTTGCACGATAGGATAAACTCGAAATTGGTTGCCCTGTTCCTCCGTGCAACTGGACGTCCGTTGCTTATGCACGTCACGTGGTTCGCACATATACTTACTATGTCGAGCACGTGTGGGTTGTGCGATAAGCAGTGCTGGTTTGCGTTTTGAGCAGCTGGAAGCCACTCAGAAAATATCAAGGACGCTATCTTCAGAAACATAGGGTACTTGCTTTTTGATTCTCATTAAGGCTCACGAGGTTTCAAGTTTTCGCGTCTGTTACACTGTTCTCCCATCTATCTAGGTCCCTAACCACCCATGTTTATCTGTTCTGCTAAGCACGAGTTTTCGCATCTGTTACACTGTTATCCCATCTACCTAGGTCCCTAACCACTCATGTTTATCTGTTCTGCTAAGCACGAGTTTTCGCATCTGTTACACTGTTATCCCATCTACCTAGGTCCCTAACCACTCATGTTTATCTGTTCTGCTAAGCACGATTGAAATTGCTCCCGTTCTTGTCTAAGACACAAGCTGAAGTGCAATGAAAACTGATCTGAGCTGCTCCTAGCCTGCTCCAGAACATAGTTTTAGCTGCTCCCAACCTGCTCCAAAACAGCGGTTTCAGCTGCTCCCGTGGCTGCGCCCAAGTGCATTTCATGAGTTCCACCCCTGGTGATGCGTTCGCGGAATGCTGCCGTCGGTTAGTTTAGTAGTCCCTCTGGACTACCGCTTTGCTTGACGTGCTAATTGGTTGATGGTGCGTTATTAATATAACAGCCGGATCGAAATGAATGTTCAGCAGAACCAAGGAGAACTATTAGTCCTCATTAAGCAACGTCACGGCCATTTTGCTTGTAGGTACTGCTCCTCCCTAGGCGCCCCTGCTCTCCTAGTCACGTGACCTAGAATTCCCCCTTCTAGGGACAATAGTTAACTTTAACCCACGGTTCGCGTTCGAGAAAATGGGCCCAGGTGGTTGAAATTAATCCTCAGTCCTCCGCTGGGGCGTGCCAGATGCCCGTCGTTGGTTTGGCACGTAAAACCGCGAAATTTGACTTTGATTGGCAATTACTAGAAGTAAGCTCTCTTTCGGCATTTTTGAAAAATAACAAATCCTGCCAAAAATAAGGGCGAATTATCTTTCGAGGCTTGGGCACAACTCGGGAGATTAGAGTAGTTCATCTTACTTTTGATAATGTGGTTCAACTCATCTTGAAGATTAAAAAAAAATATTGAGGTCAGAGTTTCGTTTGTTGCTTAAGTCTATATGCCAATCAATTCATGTACACCACCTTTGTTCTTTATTATTTATTAGGCTGATATCACTCTTTTGTGTCACAATTCGACTAGCCTATTTCTATTTACACGTGTTACTCGAAGCTCCGTCAGGTGCTGACGTACAAGGACAAAAGTTGCCTACCAGCAATTCACCTTCAATGGTCGCATTAAGTGCATAAAATTATGTTACCCAATACTTTCATACTCCACTCAGCGATGTTTAGGCAACATGACATTGAATTCAGGCCTGGTTTGGGCCCAAGCCTGTTCTAAATGGTTTCGGGCCGGGTTGAGCCTGGGCCCGGTTTCAAACACCTGGGCCATACTTGAGCAGGCAAGTTACCACGACACCGGGCCCAAGCTCAAAAAAGCGGCCCGTGCATTGCTCTAATTCACAGTGCTTTGATGATCACTGCAGTGACATTGGCCTCCATCCTTCTTTCGCACCAACACCAATGGGGTAGCCCAGTTGGAGTGCTGCGTTGGGTCCAGTATCCCTTGCTCTTCAAGTTGATCAATCTGCTTTACCCGCTGATTGGAGTGCCAAGGGGGCAGGCCGTGCTTTTAAGAACTTGGGTATCGCTTCCTCGGTCAGCACCAGGTGTAATTTTACTTTCGGAAAAGACAGAATTTCTTGCTGAGCTTGCGTAATGTTAGAACCTCCTGTTGTTTGCTGAGTGTCACCGACTTCAATGCCAATGCCCATTGTTCGAAACCAGTTGCACTTCAGCTAACTGCATTCAAAGCCTTCGACACTAGAAGCAGTGGTAGCTTGTACGCCTTGCTTTTGTAAAGGACAGTCACCATTGCTGTCCCTAAGACTTGCATTGCCTAGCCTGACCAGGCGTGGGGGTAAATGTCATCTCGTTTCAACTTGGGAGGCTTTGTGGTCTACACAGCTTGAAACGTGGGGCCCACAGAGCACAGTTGTGACAGCACCAGGTGGCAATTAAGGGATCAAAACATAGTAGCATTAAATACTTGTGAAATGCACGGTTGAGACATCATGCCAGTGCAGATTCTTGTGACATTTCAGGCTGCAAGTGTGTCAATTCAAACCGTCCCATTGAGCATGTTTTGTTCCATGCAGCCATTCCACCATCGCTGCCAGAAGTGGCCGACGATGGAGACGAGGACTCTGTGCTTGGGCTCCCAGTCGGCGGCGAAGAGCACAACGGCGTTGCCTTCCACGCAAGCTTTCCGGAAGCTCAGCTGCCCCGCATCGAAGACGTGCGGAGCCTGTGCGGATCTGCGGCTTTTCAGCATTCGTCGCATCCAATGCCCGGCAACCGGGTGTTGCTTTCGGAACTCGAAACCAAGGCACGTGCCATAGAGGCCGACACGCTAAGGAAGACCGAGGTGCACGTGAAAAAATTGGAGCTTTTAGAACTGGAGCGTCAGCAGCGAGTGGAGAAGCACAACCTCCAGGTTAGGCACTTGGAAATGGAACTGCGCGTGGTCAAGCTCAGAATGGCAATGTTGGAGGGAGGGCTCGCTGCGTCAACAGGAGGGGGGCTGTTCTGAGCAGCTGGTATTGGACTTCAATCATCCACCCCATCTTTTGGCTTCCATGTTATGCATATTTTAGATAATGGTCCCCACACACTGCCAGGATATATGGGATATATATGGGACATGCGAGAGCAGTGAGCTCTGACAATTGTTAGGATGCACTCAATCATTGTTTCAGCTTATTTAAACTCTCGAAGTTGTGATAATTCTCCATCATAACGAGGAATCTCTTTTCATCTTTTGCCATCTCATGTTGTTTGTGTAACCAGCATTGGAGTGAATCTCTATATTTATATACATAATTCTTTTAAAACATTCAGTGACATAGTAGCCTGCAATCACAATTTCTTCAAATCGAATCTCTCCAAAAGACAATATTGATTATCTTGTTGTGTTCTTCACGTCATACATAAAAATGCACCAAATGAGAAATTGTATGCCTTATGTTATTACATAAAACATACCTTTATCCTATAATAATGAACATCTTATATTACAACCAATTTTTTACATTACTGCACAGTGAAACATACCATTTTGTGGTGAATGTATGCCAATACTCTAGTTTGCAAAGTAGCAATCTGGTAGTTAATACACTACACTGTGCGACATATTTGTATACCCCGTCTGACCTTATGTTCAACAGAGCAGTGCTGCCCAGTTTTTGACGGACACCTTTGGCACATACGAAGTAGTCTTTTAAAATATTGTGAAGTAAAAGGAAACATCACATATGGAGAACTTTGGAGGATCGTGATATTGTTCTCGCACTTTGTGAGGGCGACATTGCAACCTACCAGCGATGCTGCTAATATGGGCTTTTCAGTACCCAATTTGCATGTCTAACAAACTAATGCAAGAGATGCTCGTTAATACATTTTAGATTTATATGTTCTTCCGGCTTTTATGTTCCTATACACTGGTTTCGTTGAACTTCCATAGGAATGTGTGTATCAATTTCCTGTTTGTTGCATTTACCCTCAGAGTTCTTGGGTCCAAAAATTTCCACCCGATGTGGCTGACGCAATACATTGGGCCGCTGCCGATTTCTTTCTTTAGCTTCGCTCCCCTCTTTTCCAAGTCTTTGCCTGGCTAAGCTGGGTTTCTTGTCATTCTTTTAAAGGGCGGGTGTAACCTTAGACCAATCTTGAAAGGGGCTCAGTATTTCACACTCATTTGATTGTCTTGCCATCTGCTAGTTTTATTTCGCATGGAATCCAAAGTTCCTAATTAGTGCTGCCTGTGCCCGCAGCAGCCTTGCATCAAGCTTTACCCTTCTGCATCGCCACACTCGTCGAGCTTTACCACTTTTCTCCGGCATGGTGGTTGCTGTTGCTGTGGTGACACGGGGACTGAAAATTTTTGCTCAGTCTTGTACGTCAACGTTCAATGATTATGATTATGCACAGGCCGCTAGTTCTAAAGAACAGTTCTGAAAGTCTATGGAGTTAAACTGTTGTACAAGAGTTGCTTCACTTCTCGTGTGTACTGTGACCAAGTGTACCAAAATGTATCCATTTGCGCATGAAAGATGGGAGGTACAAAAACAAGAGGAGTCTCCACAAATGAGGGAGGCACATAAAGGGGTAAGATCACCTGTGTGATGAAGTGCTTCGGTAGGTAGCCATCTCAGCCATGAGTTCTTCGTTGTAGTGTGTCTGGTAATTGCTAGTAGACAGGAACAACATGACTTATTAACTATTGCATCTCCTCTTTCTCGAAGGCCAAGTCGTTTGTAAAGATCTGATGAATTTCTGAAAGCTGTTGAAAAGACAAGGCAGCTATTGCTACAACTACCAGACAGTCTTGGAGCTTGGTGCTCCGACCAACTTGCTCGCTCTGATTAGATAAGTGGGTGGAAACAAAGGCCTTTGTCTCTATCTGCCATGTTCTCAGTGATGTGATTGCTGCGCCGATTGCGCCAAACTGCGCCAAGAGCCTAACCCTGCTACATCTTGCTACATTTTGCCAAAATATGGCTAATCTGCGCCAAGCCTGCGCCAAAGGTCCAATTTCGGTCGCCTTTCAAAACCGAAACTAAACTGAGAACCGTAATTGAGCATGCCTGAGCTATAGGTGGCGCAAGCGGCCGCCCGACGCAAAGTACCCAGCATCAATCGTCTATTCGGTCTTGCATGGTTTTTGCCGCAGTCTCGCGTTTCGCGCCCTCGCTGCCCTCGTCGTCACGGGAATCTCGTCTCGCGTCTTCTTTTTACATTTTTTTTTCGCAGGAATGTGCGGACGTTCCGTCGCTAGTGTGCCGGGTGCCAGCTATGCCATCATGCTTTGATACAAAACCATGTTTTTGCTCGGCGAGAGTTACTTTGATAGCTGAAACGCTCGCGCGACCACTGGGTCACCGTAGTCGTGCGACGTCGGGTGTTGCCATCCCCACGTCGCTGCAGATGTGGCGCTTTCTAAACTTGTTCATCGACATTCCTCTTCTTCTAAAAAATCCCTCTTTAACTCAAAGGCTGCTCATCAAAATATTTATTACCTAGATTACTCTCGGCGGGCTATCTTTCAAGAGGGACCCCGCTACATGAAAAATCTGCCGCAAAAAAACGTTGGTGAGGAGTAGTGAGCTGAAGCAAAGAAGGCAATGTCTGCACGCTGAACCCACACAGCGCGCTTGTTTGTCTCGAGTTCAGTCCTTGCTCAGAGCGCTCCACAAAACTTTTGGCCCTGGCTCACGATGTCATGCATCGATGCACTTAGGATCTGTTTTTCTTTCTATTTAGCTTGTACCTCGTCTGCCGGCCTGGCAAGCACGCGCCGCTGGACTGTTTTCTTTTTTTGTCGAATGCTGGACAGTTGTATTTTGCATACTATTTTGGGATCCAGTTGGCGACGGAGCGGAGTGGCATTGTTTCGGTTTCGATTGAACAGCCGTTGTCTCTGCTCGCGTGAGGAAGCACGTGCCACTGCAAGCTTGCTGAAGTTTCCCTCACGTACATGTGAACATGACGGCACGACAGAGCACCAGCCGGGGCGCTTGCAATCCATTGTTTTGCGTTCGCTTACTTCTAACGAAAATCTCTCACGTCAGGAACCAGGAACCAGTAAAACGGTGGCGAGCGTTCTTTTCGGAATTGCTCGGCAACGCCTACAACACTGTACACTTGTGGGATGTCTCGGCAGTGAAAACAGAAACAGCGAGTTTTGTCATAACACAGCACAAAGTGCCCTTCGTTTGTCCAGCACTTAAAACAAATATTATTATTTTTCTAAGAATATTTGCTCCAAAAGCCACTTCTTCTGCTCCGAAACACTATTCTGGCTGCTCCAAAGGCCACTTTTGCTGCTCCAAAACGCTGTTTTGGCTGCTCCAAATGGCTTAGGCCAATCACATCACTGTGTTCTTCAATCTGAGCTCACTCTACCTCTGTGCAAAGAGCAGATAAACTTGCTCGTTGTATAGGCCCCCAAAAGTGCTTTCAATTGTTAGGTTTTTCCAGATTATACACTTTTTTACCGCGGTTGTCTGAAAATCGCGTTAAAGGGGCCCTGCAACAACTTTTTGACTGGTTTTTAATTTGCACCGATGCTGAGCGCACTGAACGTAGTAACTTAATACAACTTTTCTCAAATTTCGCTTTATTTTAAAAGTTATAGGCAGATTAGAATTACAAAAACAAGCAAAAAATGACCCCCTTTATGACGTCGTAGGTCCTGGCTTGATTGGCCGTGAACTACAGGAGGGGTAGTGAGCTCATCGAGCACTCCGTGTCGACGGCTCGAGAGGCCACCACTAAAGCACGTGTTGGATAGGCTGTATGAAGCGGGCGGCCAGGGCAGCTCGCATTGCATTTGCTGCACAATTAAAGACTAATTTGGCATAACACTTCATTGGCCACAAACGACAGCAAACACGGGGTAACTATCAGTTCAGAACGGGAGCTACTTCGTGCAGCCATACCGCCAGATAGCAAAATTGCCAGCCAAGCCTGCACCGAAAGCCTTCGGATTGCTCGGAACCGGTCAGATCCTCGAGCCGGTATACGACCGCAGCGCCACCACAAACATCCGGGACCTTTTAACGTTCGCCGTTTGTCGGTGCCTCATCCCACTAGCCCTTTCTATACTTCGTTTCAACTTAGGTCCGAGCGCGGCCGATGTTATGAGCCGAAGGGCCAATCAAACAGCGCAAAAAGTGCAACGTCATGGCGTGCTCTCTGCGCTTGATAGGACTACCCGCCGGAGGGGCACGCACAGATTACGGCGAATGCCGGCTGGTCCTATCAGCTGCAGAGAGCACGGCATGACGTTGCGCCTCTTTCGCTGTTTGATTGGTTCTTCGGCTCATAACATCGGTCGCGCTCGGACCGAAGCTGAAACAAAGTATAGTATGCGCCGTTTTTTCCGCCGCTTGGTGTCGGGTATGTCAACGGGTAATTTTTTTGTTTCCATACTTTATATACTGCATTTGTTTCTTTTCTGATCAAAAATACTGAACAAAAACCGCTTCGCGACACTTATATTTTGGATCTCGACTAAAAAAAAAAAGATTTTAGCGGTTCTGACCAGTAATAAGCACAGGACCAAAGACGTCGCATATCAAGCGCTTTCGGCAATGTGGGTCGCCCTCGTAGGTGGAGGAGGTTTCCACGTCGTCCGGTTAAAATATGACGCACTGATATTTAGTTACTCTCTCCGTGCCCGCTGGCTTGCCCGAACCCCAAGAGACGTGGAAACCGCAAAAAAGGTAGACGCTTAAATATGATTGCAGGCTTCTTTAACATTGTTTTACTGTATTCTTTCTGTCATAGTGATCAAGCATGTTGCTTACTGATAAAACATTCGCCACTCGAGACTTTGATTTGGGTTGGACATTGGGTGTTATCGAGCATTGCTGCATGTATAGTTTGTGAGGAAACTTGAATACAATGTTCACACTTTTGTGCAAGTTACTGATACAGTGTAGACTTGAACATCCTACTTTACAGCCAAATCTGGGGCTGAACATGAATGTATTTTACCAGATTGGTAATTTCAATGTTCCTGCCAGTAAAAATGGGAAGACTCAGAAATTGCATGTTATGCTTGGGATGATATAAATAGAATATATCAGGCACCCTGTTCACAAATTATGAGATTATACATTTTGTTTTGTGTATTGCTGCCTTTCTGAGTTCCATTATTACTATTCCAATTTGAGGTAACTTAGTGGAGTCATGAGCCCCGTTTACACGAATGCGACTTAAAGGGGCCCTGCAAGGACTTTTTTACTGGTTTTTAATTTGCACCGAACCTGAGCGCACTGAACGTAGTAACTTAATAAATCTTTCTTTTCTCGAATTTCGCTTTAGTTTTAAAGTTATAGGCAAATGAAAATTACAAAAACAAGTAAAAAATAACCACCTTCATAAACCTTGGTTGCTTGAGTGGCCGTGAACTAGAGGAGGGGTAGTGAGCTCAGCGAGTGCTC